ACAGAATGCGTGTACTTTGGGTATATCAAACGTCACGATTCACTCTAGAAAAACATCCTGGAAGCAAAGGTAGAAGGTAAAGGGCAGGAGAGGAAGGGAGAGATCTAAAAGAAGATGTGATAAAGACATAGAAAATTACCTTTACAAACGACAATTTCTCAAGTCTCACAATCCCCCTTGCAGTTTTTTTTCTTCTTAGTTACCTGTGTTTTGTGACACTGTTTAAGAAAACCTTCTGTCTAAGACGACCACTTTTGTGCTCGACAACTTGCGGTGGTATTTTGCACAGGTGCGACAAGTTTTCTGGAAGACGGACCTCATTATTGTTTTGCCCGAGTAGTCTTAGTCTTAGGCTGACATTGAACCTACACCTGTCCCTGAGGACAACGTTACATTATCCATCTTTCCAAGGCGGATGGTTGGAGGACGTGCGCCACTGGTAGGTCCTACTTCCTTACTTTCCCTCTGTCTTTACTTTTTCCCAGCTCTAAATTACCATTATTGTGTCGATGTGCTTCTCGTTACTCAAAGAAACGAACGAACAAACAAATAAACACACAAACAAACAAGCAAGCAAACAAACAAACAAAAAACAAACAAACCAGCTTTCCAACTGTTCTTATGAGCTAGAGAAACACCCTGGATTTTGTTTTCCGTACTTCCAATAAAGCAACAAATATCCGCCAGACAGACAGGAGACGTCGTGGTGACACTGTTGTAAATCAAAGTCCTGACTCCGACAGACACACGGAATGTTGCATCCCTCCCTACCCCCCGAGCCCCGGATCGGAGAGCCCCCCCGGAAAGCCCCCGGAAAGCCCCGCCTACTTCTAAGCATTGCCACAGTGTTAAAGCACCATTGCCATCATAACCCATTAGCCACCGGCCATTGCGCGCTCGCTTTAGTAGCCATAAAACACGGCCATATTGAATACCGCTTTACTGCAGCTTCGGCTGTACCCACGGGGGGATGCCGGCGAAAGGCGGACATTTTGAGGAAATTTTGCCTATGTGGATGTCCGTTTTTGTGTGTCTGGAGATATCTTCGACGGTGGTCAAAGTTCACGGAGTGGGCTCTGAGCAGGGTCACCGGTAGACTACCCACGAAATCACCGGAGGTCGATCCACAAAATCTGGGATGTGGACGGACGGAGAGAGGACTTCGGCGCGAGTTACGGGATTTCTTTAGGCTTTGGGCTTTTTCATCGAAATTAAATGTGGGTATATAGAGTCTGAGAAGAAGAAGAAGAAGAAGAAGAAGAAGAAGAAGAAGAAGAAGAAGAAGAAG